ACGTCTCGGCTCTGCGGCATGTCCTTCTGAGACTGTAAATGTTTCGATTAATCCAGGGACTTTTTCTCTTGCTAGAAAAAGTAACCTGCTTAACAGGAGCTACTTTATCTAAGATACTGCAGCATTGTTTATCCAATGACTGGATGAACAAGCTTGGATCATCACCTTGAACTGAGCTGCTGTCAAATAATCTAGAAAATCCATCCACTGCTGACTGATTAATGATACGGCTTTGATTTTAGGTTGTGAGAGACAGATGCAACATTAGATAGGACATTAAAGAAAATGCAGCTGTGGTCACTAGCATGAACCTCTTCAACATCTAAATGATTGATTTTTAGTCCCAAAGAAAAAACAAGATCTAGTGTGGCCCATTTAGTGTGTGGAGCCTCAAACGTGCTGCTCTTAGTTAAAAGACTCCACAATAGACATGAACTCCACTGCTGTGCTACAATTAGGATTGTTAAAATCACCAAGGATTAAAACTTTTTCTTGTTTGATCATTGTTGATAGAAAATCTGCTAATTCAGAGAGAAAAGGGCCAGCTGGACCAGGAGGTCAGTAGATTAAAATACAGTGAAATACTGTACATGTTGTAACCCTGCTTTGATGACCTGACATTCAAAAGTTGTAAAAGGGCCATTTTTCACCAGATTACAGACATGTTTGTCCTTAAAGACCACAGCAAGACCTCCACCACGACGTTTCGGGCGTGGTGTGGTAAACACAGAGCAGTTTGGTGGACATATTTCATTGAAATGTACAAAATAGCCATTTTGCTGCCACGTCCCTGTAAGAAATAAATAGTCCAACTTTTCTCTGATAAACAGCTCATTTAAAATAAAGGATTTGTTTGAGATGGAGCAGGCATTTAACAGGGTACACTGAACCGAATCCTGGAGAACATTTGTCTTCTTAACCTGTTGGAGAGGGATGGCTCGTAAACATCTGGTGTTCTGGGTTCTCCAGCCATGAATACAGTTTATGTCTTTGCTGGTTGATAAATGAACTGGAACAGGGAAACTTTTGGGTTTGTCAGCAGAAGACAACATTTTGGGAATTGTGACCTTTGGAAGACACGCAGAAGACTGTTGCATCATGGGAGGACTGGAGTGATGTTATTTGAAGTGGAGGTTTGAGCAAAGGCCGAAGAAGGTGATGATCTCTGGGATGTAAACCGTCATGTCTGTGGAAGGGAATCCACCATAGATATATATCTATGGGACTGCACAGCATACCGGATGTTAGCGATTAGCATGCTTGAGCCATGTCGGTTAGGGTGATTACCATCTCACCTGAAAAAGGAGAAACGGTTCCAAAACAGGTTAAAATTATCGATGAAACCAAAACTGTGGGACCTGCAAGCAGTCTGAAGCCAGGAGTGGAGAGAGAGCAGACGGCTAAAACGTCCATATCCATGAGAAACTGTGGGGATCGGGCCAAAGATGAAAACAGACATTCCACTGCTCTTCAGAACGTCAAAGAGATGGTTAAAATGCTTTTGAATGATGACAGACTCCCGGCGTGTAACATCGTTCGATCCCACATGAATGATCACTCTTTTAACTGAAGCTGGGATGGAGTACAGCAGACCAGGAAATTAATCCAGGAGAGCAGGTATGGTGGCTGATGGAAAACATCTCGTCATGACGTTAAAAAAAGCGGACGTTCCCGATTATTGAATCACCTACCAGCAAAGTGGTAGATGAAACAGTGGACGGGGTGTAGACGGCTCCTGATTTGTGTTCCCGTGCAGTAGTGGAGAATTCTGGGGTTGGGTTCCTGTGGTGTTGTGGAACTGGAGGGTTTGAGGTGGAGGGTTTGGCGTGGAGGAGCTCACCTCCTGAGCCAGGGCAGGAGGTCCAGCAGTGTTGATGCACAGCATCCTTTAGTATTTTGCGTCGGGCATCAGAGATTGAGGTCTGGGGGGAAGAGACTGCTGAGGTTGCTTCTTCCGGACTACAGGCTCCTGCTGGGTGGGATCAGATGGTTGGGAGGGAAGAGGAGGGCTAAGAGGAATCAGCTGGTTGTTCCTCAGCAAGTGGAGAGAAGTGGTTTGAAAGACTGAGGTCAGGTGGGGAGTTGGGATCAACCACAGGGGCTCTCCTACGGCCACGTACCACAACCTCTGACCAAGATGAAAATTGGTCAGGAGAAGAGCTGGAAGTTGGATCTCGTGGTGCAGAGGGATCCCAAGTAATGGTGTCTTGGAGTAGAGTAGAAGTATTTGGTTTGCTGCTATTCATATGTGAGACTATTCAAAAGCAGTAATTTTGGCATAAATAAACAGAAGAACAGAATACGTCTATATATTATATGTGATGTAGATTATAGAGCTCTGGACCCCATGTGACTCTCAGTTAGTAGACGCCATATTGGCAGGTAAAAGAAGCTAAACAAACACGGATCGTTAACATGAACGTGAACGGGATCGGCTTGGATTTTACTTCGTCAGAGTTTACTTCACACTTTAAAACCGAAGAAATCGTTTTATATAGTCAGAAATTAAATAGACTAAACATCTCCGACCCTTACCGTGCCCCTGGGATACTTTTTAAAAACGCCAGAAGCTGTCGTAGCGGACTTCTTCCCGGACCTAGCCGGGGAACCCCTTGGGATTTACCCGGAGGAGCTGCCTCAGGCGGCTGGGGAGAGGGAAGTCTGGGACTCTCGACGCTACTGCCCCCGTAACCCGACTCCGGATACGCGGATGAAAATGGATGGATGGACAAATAACAGATTTACACGTAAGTAGTTTGAATAGAGTGCTGTGCTGTTTGAATGTATAAACTGAACGCCAAGAGAAATCACTAGTCTGATTTTTTTCCGTGAATAAAATAAATATGTAAGTCAGGAGCGTCTCAGAATCTGTCTGAGATCTGTCTCGGTGAGACAGATAATAGCAATCCAAAGTGCTTTTTAAGTGTGATCTGACAATTGATCAACCATTGCTTAAAAATTAAATACAGCTTAGCCGGTTAATTGCTGTGATCATAAAACACGTAAACGGCAGCACGCAGAACTCACGAGGCAACGTTTTACGTGACGTTTACTTGTTGCTATGAGTAATAAGACAGAAAAAGCCACGCCAAAATAAGTTTAGGAAGCCCACTAAGAATCGTAATAAAAGCATTTAAAATAAATACCACACACAGTTGAGGAAATGTTGGTTTAAGTACCTGATATGAAGTGGTCGCTGCATTAATGAAAACCTTTACTCTCGGGATCCCACAGTTTCATTTTAGCCCGGTCACTAGCGCGTTTTATTACAATGATCCAATGTTTGCGGCGCTCCGGATCTTGGGGAATCCTGTAGAAGGCTCATTCCTTATGTCGTCTGCGTCTGTTCTGCATCCTGGGGCACAACAGGAATCTACCATATTTCCCGTTTGATTGAGTTTTCTGACAATAACAAATAGTCCAGCTGCCGGCTTCTACCTGCCAACATGGCGCTGTTTCGATTTGAACTGTTGCATGCCGGGAGAAGTGACGTCAACTCCCAGAGCTCTATAGGCCACATGGCCCATTTCTAGATGAATAATAAACCAGCTTTTATCAAGCACCCCCCTGTCCTGCATGTTTTCCATGTCTCTGCTTCAGCCTGCCTGATTTACATATCTGCATTTTCTCAGGAGGACATCAAGTGCTGCAGAAACCCGTTAATCACTCATTCATTTAGAGCAAGTGTGTGGCAGCAGGAAAAACACCTAAAACCTGTAGGACCGGGGCGAGCTGAGGACCGGGTTTTAGAAACGCTATGAAGACAAAACAAAGCAGGGCTGCAGCTGCAACTGAGAGAATGGTCCAGGTTCACATGGATCAGAAGTCAAGAGCCCAACCAGAGCGTTTACACCAGCTGTGGTGCAGATCCGGAAGCAGAGCTCCAGAAAGTTTCCACATGGAGTCTATTCTTTTGGGCCCTGCATGAGGCTTGTTAAAGTTAGACTTCACCGGAGCCCGACAAGAAGTGAGATGTGGTTCGGCATTAAGGAGATGATTTTTGTTCAATCATCAGTTGTACGTTTTACTTTACGGGACTAAGAGAAAATGGCTCAGGAGGTCCACAAGTCACAAAGGGTTGGGAACCACTGTCATTAAGCTCCTGCAGACTGCTCGAGGTGGTTCACAACTGAATGTGTGAGAGTGAGTTTCTCCAAATCAGAGGCCCTGGCTCTTGACTGGAAAAATATGGAATTCTCCCTCCAGCTTTGGAGTGAGTCTTTGTCTCAATTGCGGGAACTCGAGTATCTTAAGGTTTAGTTCATCTGCAGCTGAGAACATTGCTCAGGTTGATCTGAGCTGAAAGACAAAGTTCATCTTCATTTCCACCCTTGGGTATGGTCCTGAAGTTTGGATCTCAACCACAAGCTCAGGATCCTGGAGACAATCTGATGAGATTATCTGACTGGGCTCAGATTAGAGATTAGATCATCATTCGGGGGAGCTCAGATTATAGCTGCTGCTCTAGATGCTGCTCTGAGGTTTTGGGATCAGGATTAGGACGCCTCCAGGTTGCCTCCTCTCAGGTTTCCCTTCTGGACCTGTCGCCTCTGACACCAACATCATTCAACTAACAATAAATGATTTAACAACATCTCTTATTCCAGATATTTGTCTCATCCTCCGCATCACGTCTGAACCTTCTGGTTTTTACTGAGATCCTTGAGATTTTCTCCAGTAGAAATGTTTCGCTGAAACATCTCTTCAGGCTGTAAGACTGAGATCATAAAAGCTTTCTTCTAACTGGTATAGCTGCACAACTTCAGTATTAAATGTTTAGCTGCTCACTCTGTGTTTTACTTTCTAATCAAGAAGATTCTGGAAAACATGACACATGGTTCTCCAAAGTATCCAATTTAGCTAATTAGCTGAATGAATACACTGAGAATGAAGTGTTGTCTATTGAAAGTCAGTGGTGCGTGTCCCCAAATGAGCTCGGTTTCCTACCAGAGCCGACTCTGAGTCTGCTCTAAATAATCCCAACTTCCACCTTCCTGCAGACTCACACCATCTTCTCCCTGCTGGGCCTTGACCACGCCTACGTCACCAGCATCGGACGCCTCATTGGAGTGGTTTCCCTCAAGGAGGTGAGAAGAAACTTTATGTACATGCTGTGTCTTTAACCCTTTAAGTGTCTGATGTCAGAATCAGCTGATAAGAAAAGCGATTCCTCTGTTCTTTGCCCACATCCGTCTCTCTCCTGCCTCACAAACTGGAAACCACTCACTGTCTGTGAATCAGCCAGGAAACGGAGCGATGATTGCTGCTGGGGGCAGAGCCGCATTAGGCTGCAGCTCCTGACATTCCAGTTTGTGTGCTGTTGTTGTTGTTGTTTGCTTTGACTTGCTGACTAAAGAAGCAGCATGCCGTCACACGGAGGTGCTGCTGTGTCCCCGCCTCTCTGATCCAGATGGTTTTACTTGTTTTTCATTTTAGTTCAGTTTATTTGAGCAGAAAAGTTACACTGATTCTGTTATTTATGGGTTATTAAAGCTACAGTCATGGTCAGATGTTTGGGACAGACGATAGCCATGGATAACTGGTTTACATAAATCTGTGAAACAGCACCACATCTCACAACAGAGGTGTAAAGATCCTTAGAATAAGTTCTTTTGGGGTGTGTTAGTACATTCTCCAACAGTTTCCTCATTCCTTTTCCAGCTCCGTAAAGCCATCGAGGGCTCGGTGACGGTGAAAGGTGTGAAGGTGCGTCCGCCTCTGGCCAGTTTCAGGGACAGCGGCACCAGCAGCAGCGAAACCGAAGCCACTGAGCTCCACAAGCTGTGGGACCGCCACAAGGGTTTGTCGCTGCCTCGTGAACACAACCCATCGGAGTCCGACGAGAAGTCCCAGTGAGAGGAAGCTGGGGATGAAGAGCGGGTGGGGGGAGCGGGGGAGGGGAAACGGAGGAGGTATTGGGTGCACGGAGGCGTTTTAAGTCCGAAATCCACAAACATGCAAAACTCCTCAGGGCAAAAGTATCCATATTTATTTGTGGAAAGAGTTCTTCTGCCACACCAGCCTTCTCACCTCTCGTCCTCTGCTCCGCTACCTCCTCCCAACAACTCCTCCTTCGCCTCCACCCAGCCTGTGCATCCTCCAGGAGCCGTGCACTAACACAACCAGATGCCCCAGAGGATGCGAGGCACTGCTCTCCATTCACCTTTGGGGTCCCAGAGAGGAAAGTGTCGGTCTGGTCCAAAACTGAACTGTTAAAAAGGGATGTTTGTCTCTCCTGCTTAGATTTGGAATCAAGCTTTGTGTGTTTGATCAAGTCTTCCACTTCAGCGATGAAGTTCTGTCATGATGACAAGATAGAATATTGTAGTCTGTGTGTGTGCGTGCGTGCGTGCGCGTGTGTGTGTGTGTGTGTGTGCGTGCGTGAGAAACGTGAGTAGATGAAGACGAGGCTAGCAGTTAAATTCATTCTTTGGGACTTTTTTACTTTCTTTCACATTCAGCTCTTTTACTTTAGTGATTTTCTTCTAGTTCTGACAAATCAGAAGGTCTGAGCTCAACTGGAAACCAGTTCATCCCACTAACGAGTGTGAAACTGGGAAGGAGGCAGGTGTGTTCCGTAGTATTTTCTTCTCTGCATGCTTGTCACCTCAGTGAGATTTCAGCCTGCAGCAGCGTTGGAGACACCGGTCGCCCTTTGATCTGACGACGCTCCTTTTGTTCTGTAGCTACAGCCTCTGGCCACATGCAGCAGATGTGTAGAAACGCACACAGACACGTCAACGTGACGGGATCTTTTCAAATCTAAATATAGACTTTGGTCTGAGGAAGGGTGAAGATGAACGTGGATGCCTAACCAGATGCTAGTAAATCGTAACGGAACCTTCTCTCTGGACTGTTGGTGGCACAAACGTAAGAAGATAAAATGCTGAGTCACACTGAATTGATAGGTGAGACGAGGCATACTGGACATGATTAAAACACGTTCAAATCATCTCTGTTTCTAATTTAATCCACATCTTGGTCATCAGCTCCCAAAGTTGTTTCATATTTTTGCACTTTATGGTTTGTACAAGTAGACGGGTTAGAGGGAGACGCCAGGCTCGCACAACGACCTTTTCAGGCTTTCTTAAAAACATTTAAACTCCATCAACACGACAGCTCAGCCGTCTGAACACCTTCACAATCGTGTTTTAGAAACTCGGTCGTGAACGACTTACCGTCTGTCACCAACAGTCCCAGCCCAGTTAGGTACTGGTTCGAAGAGTTCACCAGTTGTGTGTGACTAACCCAGTTAACCAGTACATTCAACCATTCAAATCAATTTAGTTTTTTTTTTCTCAGATATTCATCTAAAAATGTTTATTATGAAGAAAAAAATGCAAAATATTTATTAAGGTGAAAAATGGACAGAAAAATCTAATAGATGTGACAGGCCTGGGTGTTTGATTACTGATACGACTCATAACATCATAAGTAATACATTTTATAAGTCATGTCTTGCGTAAAGCTCCAGGCTCGTCAGCATTTTCTGCTTATTGACAGAAAAACATTGATTGTTTTTTTTTAAAACTTGCCTCAGACGTGGGAGAAGCCAGAACCCAGCACTAGCCTGGTTTCTCTGTGGCTTTGCATGACAGTTGCATGTTTGTTTTTATCATGTGAATGTACCAAAAGCATCAAAGATGGGGGGTCACCATGTTGGGCCTGTACCTTCTGCAGCTTCTTCCGCTTTCTATCTAAAGTGAGCTTTATTTGTTTCCTGATCTGAGCTCAGAAATGTACAGATTAATATATTTAATGTTATTCGTGTAATATAAAATCATGTTTTAATGTCTTAACTGATCTGTGCCTGTTGACTGTTCTCTTCTTTAAAGAGATGTTGGACTTGTTCGTGTGTGTCTGTGATGATTTAAAAGCTGATTTTCTTTCTGTTGGTCATGTTTTATTATTTAACACTTGAACGACGTTTGTTCCTTTACGCTCACGCTGATGGTGTCTGTCTGAAGAACGGTGGCTCTGAGACGAAACATGGACTTGTTCAAGTGCCTCCTCCTGTCTAACCGGTGGAAATAAGCAATCATCACCGCGTTTCTGGAGCTGGTTTTCTCCTCATACGCATGCAGGCACTTCTCTCACACACACTAATATGTAAGTGGCTTGATGATGTTTCACAGCAATATGCGACCATCACCATGGAAACCCTGGTGTCTGCTTACCCCGGGGGCTGACTGTGATCCACTGATTTGGTTCTGTTCATTTGTTAGTGCGCTGTATTGATTCTGGTTGCCATGCCAGATGCTCTCGCCTGCAGCAGACTCTACTTCTCATTTTCTTCCAGACAGACACAGAGCAAGGTAGCTGCGTCTTCACCCGTCTGTCAACATCAGAACAGACACGCTCTTTGTTTTTCCTTGGTACTGATGATCTGCTTGTGGGTAATCAAGTTTGTGCAATAACTGATGTTCATCTCATTTTGTAACCCTGTTTTAATGGTTGACATGAAAGCAAGATAACCTTATTTTTGTAAAGAAACCTGAAAAGAGTAAAAAGATGTCGGTGTACGAAACACTCAGCTGGGAGCTGACCGTTTATCCACTCCTTGTGGACCCAACACTACTGCAACCTCTGAGGGTCAAACCACAATGTCCAGAACTGTTTTTCACATCGAAATTTCAAGCATTGTTTTTGTACATCATGATGAATAAATAAGATTTTAACGAACAAGTGTTTTGTTGGAGTGTGTTTCAGCCTCCAGCAGCTTCTCCTTCCTGTCAGCAACAGCTGACAAGCAGCTGGACTGATGTTTTTGTCCTTCATTTTTCTTCCCTGTGGAGAGGCTCACAGGTCTGCAACAGACTCAGATTTATCTCTGAACCATCAGGCAGTGGTGGCAATGCACTCATGAAGCACCTCATTTAGAGTTTTATGAAACGGGTTTAGCTGATGCTAACATGATGGTGTTTTTACAAAACGACCAAAGTTTAAAGACTTTTTTCAACACAATGTCAATAAAGAGTAAATTATAACAAATATTGACCGACATTTTTGTTGACAAATAACCCACCAAACAACCACCATTGCATGCACTTGCAGATAAGGTCTATATTGAATCCGTCAGTCTAGAACAATTCTAGACGTTTGCTGGACGTGCAAATCAGGTCCATTATTTGGACGTCTAACTATGACCCCACTTGGATGTCAGTATAACGTGAAACATGTGGACCTTGGGTTGGGTAACTGTTTTGAAGTTCATGGGGATGTCTAAAACGGGTGCGAAAATACCATCCATCCATTTTCTGAACCCGCTTGTCCATGCGGGCGGGGGGGCGCTGCCTGGTGCCTATCTCCAGCGGTCAACGGGCAATCAGGCGGGGTACACCCTGGACAGAGTGCCAGTCCATCACAGGGCAACACAGAGACACACAGGACAATCACACACTCACACCTAAGGACAATTTAGACAGACTAATCAACCTAACAGTCATGTTTTTGGACTGTGGGAGGAAGCCGGAGTACCCGGAGAGAACCCACGCATGCACAGGGAGAACATGCAAACTCCAAGCAGAAAGATCCCAGGCTGGGAAGCGAACCTAGGACCTTGCTACAAGGCAACAGCTCTAACCGCTGCGCAGCTGGTGCGAAAATACCATTAAAAATATTTTTGCTCAACGTTCAAAGACACATTGTAGTGACATCATATCCAGGGGTCTCATTTTTCAATCATTGCGTAGAATCTTTACTAAAACCGTACATAAGCTCAGCAAAAAAAAATTTACTCACGCCAAGCAGGTTTCTGATCTATCAAACATGGAGTATGCACAGCTGCACGCAATCTCTGCTTCATAAATCGGAGACTAACGACAATGTTTCTCAGCTGCATTTTAGTCACATCCCGCCCTCACCACGCCCACTTACTGCCATAAATGGTCAATGCAAAGTGCCTTGTAGATCTCATGCGTATACATAAGCCAGTAACGTTGGTGACCGCAGATCGAGGAAGCGCAATTTCACTGAAGAAGAAATTGAGGTACTTGTGGGTGAAGCGGAAAAATGAAAGGAAGTGCCTTTTGGAGGTTACAACAGTAGCAAAAAATATAAGAGAAAATCCACGGAGTGGCACAGCGTTGCTGACGCCGTCGATGCTGTGCACGGCATTGTGCCAGAGAAGTAGGGAGACACTGACCATGCAGTGGAGACTGGTAACGTTTAAGCCTTTATTAATGCAGATCAAACACAGGGCTCAGCTCAGCACAGAAGTTAAGGAGGGGAATCTAAATCTGCTGATCAGCCAGTCGTCATCATGTGCTGGAAATCTGTGTGATCTCCGAACACTCTCTTCATCCGGATCCTGCCATTAGCATAGTCATCCAGGACTGCCATCGCATCCACTGTGAAACATTATGTAGGAGTGTCTCTGCAGTATATATGTCTGCTCAGTAATCACTAATTGCTGCCGGCCTGTCAAAATTGATACACCAGTAAGGCCAATTATGTAACACCATACAGTAATTCTTTTAATACATTTCAGTCGGGGGGTGGGGCTGTGTGTGTGTGGGGTTTGTTTGTCGTTCTGTGTGCGCACCAAGCAGTACAAGTGATAATGCTGCAGGATTTCATAATTTCATAGGTTTCATCCACAACGACCTGATTTCTACCAGAATTAGCCCTATTCTGAACGTCCTACGGATGTCAGTACAGCACATGCAGGAGAAGTGATGAAAAAAAGTCATCTGGCATCACAGTCGTGCAAAAATGACCTGGCACAGACGTTGCTGCGAAGTGTCTTTGCACAGTGGGAAGAGACGACAACAAAAACTGACAGAAACGAAAATCCAATCAGAAAACGGAAAAGATGGGAGATCGGAAAAGGAAAGGATTTCATTTTGTAAATGTACATGACAAATTGTCTTCATACTCCAGGGTTACTTGTGGAGTACCACAGGGTTCAGTGCTTGGACCAATTCTTTTTACTATATATATGCTCCCAATTGGTAAAATCATTAGAAAGCATGGGATAAACTTCCACTGTTATGCTGACGATACTCAGTTATATTTATCCATTAACCCTGATGAACCTCATCGGTTGGGTAGATTACAGGCTTGTCTTGATGACATAAAAAATTGGATGACTCTAAACTTTTTGCTTTTAAATCAAGACAAGACGGAAGTTCTCATCTTTGGACCAGACATCCAGAAAAGGAAATTGCTTAGCCAATCATCTGACCTGAATGGCATTACATTAATCTCCGAGAACAAAATAAGGAACCTTGGTGTTATCTTTGACCAGAACATGCCTTTCAAATCCCAAGTTAAACAGGTTTGTAGGATTTCCTTTTTCCACCTTTGGAATATTGCTAAGATTAGAAGCATCCTTTCCAGGAGTGATGCTGAAAAGCTAGTTCATGCATTTATTACATCAAGACTGGATTACTGTAATTCATTACTCTCAGGAAGTCCACAGAATGTAGTTAAACGTCTTCAGCTTGTCCAAAATGCTGCAGCTAGAGTTCTGATGAGAATTAAAAAGAGAGATCATATCTCTCCTGTCTTGGCTTCCCTACATTGGCTACCTGTTAAATTCAGAATAGATTTTAAGATCCTTCTTCTCACATATAAAGCTCTTAGTAATCAAGCTCCATCATACATCAGTGATCTGATTGTTCCATACGTTCCTAACCGAGCACTTCGCTCTCAGACTGCAGGTTTACTGGTGGTTCCCAGAATATCTAAAATTAGGATGGGAGGCAGATCTTTTAGTTATCATGCTCCTCTCCTGTGGAACCAGCTCCCAGCCTTAGTCCGTGAGGCAGACACTTTGTCTACTTTTAAGACTAGGCTTAAAACATTTTTATTTGATAGGGCCTATGGTTAAAATCTGATGTTAGCCTAAATCTGGACAAGTGGGGGAGTAGAGGGAGGTGGGGTGTACAGTCGGTAAAGACGGTTCTCCCTTGCCCTGCCTCCAACATGCCTCCATCTAAATAGGATAGATTATCGTGAGTTATATCTGTAGTTATGCTGCTATAGGCTTAGACTGCTGGAGGACACACTGACCACTTTCCACACTCTACTACTTTCTTCTACAGTCTGCTCTTTAACTGTACTATTTTCTGCAATTTCAGCTGTTAACTTTATTTTCTCTCTAAGTGTTTTTCTCCCCAGAAGAAGCTACAACGATGTTCTGCTGAGCTGTGGTGGCCTCATGGAGGGGGCCATCATCTAGCACACTGCTGCTAACCACTTAAACATTCTCCCTCTCCTGATAATAACTTTTTGCTTTCCTTGACGTTGGATGTGCTACTACTAGTTTACCCGTTTAATTATAGATCCACTAGGATAAATACAATAAAGTTTATCTTTCACCAAATAGAATACTTACTAAGACATCACAATATAACAATAGACATTACTTTGTCTTGTGTGTGTGTGTGTGTGTGTGTGTGTGTGTGTGTGTGTGTGTGTGTGTGTGTGTGTGTGTGTGTGTGTGTGTGTGTGTGTGTGTGTGTGTGTGTGTGTGTGTGCGTGCGTGCGTGCGTGCGTGTGTGTGTGTGTGTGTGTGTGTGTGTGTGTGTGTGTGTGTGTGTGTGTGCGCGCCTGCTCTGTCTTCTCGATCCCCAGTGAGTCGTGGAGGATGGCTGCTAATACTGAGCCAGGATTCTCTGGAGGTTTCTTCCTGTTAAAAGGGAGTTTTCCTCTCCACTGTTGCTATATGCTTGCTTAGTATGAGGATTGCATCAAGTCACTGACACTAGTCAGTGACTTGATGCAATTTGCTGGGTTCCTTATATAGGAAACTTTATTTCTTATTGGCCTACTGAACTGACCTGAATTGGAATGTTTATTATGTGAAGTGCCTTGAGACGACTCTTATCGTGATTTGGCGCTATATAAATAAACTTGAATTGAATTGAATTGAAAACAATCAGCAAATGGAACAGGCAGGGCTAGACGAGAAAAGAACCAATCAGAGTCCGGAGCTGGCCGCTGTTTGAACAAGCTACAGCAAACCAGACATCATGATGTTTACATAAAAGTTATGTCTAAAAATGTCCTCGGCTAGGAGTAAAAGCATTACGTAGGTGAGTACACATCTGGGGTTTCCCTTGGTTATAAAAGTCTTAAAGTGTTGTTAGCAGCGAGCGGGGGCGGGAGAGGGGGTGCTGGATCTCAGCAAACCGAACCGAACTCCTGAAGCAGCGCGCTGCACAGCTTGTTGTCTATTTGGGTTTTTTTGTTTGTTTGTTTTTTTGGTGGTGCTGTTAGAGACAAATGATCAGTGTTCTGTGTTCTAGCTGTGCTTTTGTAAGGAGAAACATTCAGGTGCCCCACTTTGATCAATCAGTCTAATAAAAACTATTACATACATCTGAAAAACAGTCTTACCTTTCTTTAGGTTACCTCTGCATAGAGCAAAACTCTTTCATGTTTTGATGGTTTGATGTCATGTTTACAAATATTACTGCACATTTTACAGATTTGTGTATTTTTTTAATATTGAGAGGAACAATTTCAAACTGTCAGCGCACCACTACGAAGCTTTAGGACTGTAAAACCCCTCTCTACACACTTTATACATTTTTCTCAGACATTTTCATACTTTTCTCTCTTGTTTAAACACTCTCAAAATCCAAACCTTTGTACCTTTAGGCGGAGGAAACAATGTGCAGTTAAAAAAAAAGATAAAAAGCATGCAAAAATGCACAAAGCAAAAATCCGCAAAACTG